CTTGTCAACCAATGACAAGGTCACTTTTTTTTTTCTCCTAAATGGCAGTTGACTAGTGGACCTGCATTTTTGAAGCTTGACTTTCTGAAACCAATAAATAAAAGATAGAGCTTAATTTAAAGTTTAAAAAATAAGCACTGGAATATACTCCTAATTATAAAATGGTATTTATAGTGACTATAAAACAGAATATGCAAAGTGAAAGCGTAACTATACATGGGTTCCACCATTATATTTTAATTTTGTCAGTTGGAAATAAAACGTGGTAGTATTGAATTATTGATGAAGAGATAAAGCAGTGGCTCTTCGATTAATTCCACACTTGAGTACTCATGACTTTGCTTAATTATCTATCGTACTACCAAATTGCTTTTCACTAATTTATAATATCTATTATAATCTCATTTTAGTATTTACTCTAACCACCAACTTTCTCATTTCCATTATTCAGGCACTTTTTTTATTTAATTAATATTTAAGGTCAACTTTTATTATGACACTATACACAGCCTTATATTTGGCTATTAATTGGATATTGGATGAGCAAAATGACGTTTAGGTCTATTTAGTTTGTTGATTTAAGTTTTTAATTTGAGTTGAGATGTGATTTTATGTGAGAGTTTTTTATTATAGAAAAAAATTAAATGACTGTTTCTGAAAAAATTTTACTATAACAAAATTTAAATTTTAAATTCGAATCGATAAAATGAACGAACGAGCTCTTCAAAAGTCCACAAGTACAATATTTTTTTTATAAATAAATATTTTCCCTTTTTTTCACCTCTTAAAAGATGCCCTCTTCAAGTTGTTTGTGATGCGACTACTTGTTAGCCGTCTGTGGATATATAAATCGACCACACCTAATTCAATATATATACTTGGGGCGTGAGTTCTTTTGGGACTAAACAATGTTTACTTTTTCCTATTTCCTGTCAAAATCAAACCCTAATATATAATCGTACGTACGAAACTATTATAAGTTAATGTAAACCAACTAATTAAATTGCTCAACCAAGTAGTAATTAATAGAATTAACTTATGGACAATAATTAAAGCAACCCTTAGAGCCCTATCAATAGAGGGGGTTTAAATATTAGTTTTAAGTTGTATGACTCATTTTCCAATTTTGATGCTCCATAATTGCATGTAATCTCTCACTCTTCTAGTGGATTAAGATTTTGATTAAGCCATATTGGATAAGATTTTTGACTTCTAAATGTAGCTTTCTATTGATATATATACCTATATATATATATATATATATATATATTAATTCGATACGGGACGATCTTTCAAAGTCAAACTCCATCTCATTCTATTCATATTGTTGTTTGATTTGTTCGTATTGACATGTGACGCAGCTATGAGTATTGAAAATTAAGGGAACTATCACTTCTAAAGGTAATGGGAATATGTGTTTCCACACTCGATTATCCAAGAACTCAGAATTGATTGGTATTTAAATACATGCTTTCGATCAAAGTTATGCAACTTTTTTCATGCAAGTTTTGGTGGTAAGCATTCTCTTGTGAAAGGATTAACTGAAAAACAACTAAGATAGCAAGGAAATTATATATTTTTTAGATAGGAGTTTAGATGAAACGAGGAGTTGGTTTTTTGTCCTCTATTGCTTTTTTTTTTTCTATTAGTTTTGTAACGTGTCCCACGCCGTATTGGAGATACTTAGAGAGTTTATTGTTTACCGAATAATGAGAAATTTATTTATACAACTATTTAAGAATTTTTGAATTTATTTTAAAAAAGAATATTTAAAGATAACAATTGACAAAAATAAATAAATAAATAAAGTAGGAACACATTTAAAAAAGAGTAATGATAAGGACACCAACTAAAATTTTAACTTTTGTATGCCAACTTATATGACACGTGAATTGTCATCTTTTTATTAATAGATGCAATCTCTTTTATTAAATGACGTGGCAATGTTTTAAACACCTATTAATAGAAAAATGACAACTCAAATGTTACATTAGTTGGCATACAAGAGTTAGGATTTGAGTTAGTGCCTCTAACATTATTCTTTAGAGAAAATTATTTTAACCAACCAAAAATAAAATAGGAACAAATGCAAAAAAAAATTACTCTCATAAGAATAAAGTGAGGAACAATATATTTTTTAAAAATACAAAAGAAAACAAATTGAAGAAAAAACAAAAGTAGAGAAGCAGTCACGTGACAACTCAAAAAAAAAAAAAAAACTTTCATTTTTTTATGTATTGTTAGATTTATTAAATTTTCAACATTAAAATAAAATAGGTCGAAATACTTAAAAGTCGGAATATACAGTGACAAAAGGAAAAGACTAAATTGACCTACTAATGAAAAAGTTGTGTTGGTCAATTCACTTTTTCATTTTTATTTTTCCAATATACAAGTTTTCGAGTAGTCGCATCCCATCTTATACTTTGATTAGGACTTGGGACAACGAAAAGTCAGGGCAACTAATTGAATAGATGATTTATTATTGTGTAGAAGTACTTATCTCGACGAGTCGTATGTTAAAAACTTTTTTGCTCTGAGTCATATGTCTTATTAGGGAATGTTAACATTTCGTAAATAATACCTTTAATAATAATTTCAAACTTATTTATATTTATTTTTTATTTAAAATTATATTTATTTTCAATTCAAAAAATCCCTTCATTTTAAGAGATTTATAGTCTTAGATAACGTATTTGATTCTATAATTGTAATTATATTTATTTGAAGCCCATTAATAGTGCTTCTCACCAATAGAGATTTATAGGCAAATTGCTAATGTAGTTGAATCTTTGTATTCTAATGTAGGCCTCGTTCACTTTGCGGATTCGAGTTTTCAATTCGAGTTGACATGTGATATTTTTTGAGAACTTTTCACTGTAGCAGAAAATATTAGATGTGACATTTTATGATAACTTTTTAATTCTATTTTTCTCTTTACTTTCTTTAGTTTTTAATAAAACTATCCCCTAAATGGACATGATTGAAATCGCAATGGCAATAAGTGCAAGATATCACCACTCATGCACAATATTGTAGAAAAAGAAAAGTCTACTCTAGCTAGTGGTTAGCCTTTGTAATTGTCTAGTGACTTTTGTTTTGGATGTCGCTAATGAATATTGTAATTGAATAACCATGGTTGGAGAAAATGACGCATCATTATTTATTTTATTAATTTATTAATTCATCTCAAAAGTTTAAGCAGGAGGTGGACCAATAATGGTTTTATATTCTAACACTCTTCCTCGCGTGTGGGCTGAACAATGTACAATCGTGTGAGTAAATTAATTAGAAAGCCCAATACGTGAATATTTAAACCTGAGATATATTAAAGACCTAACACATAATGACAATTTAAATAAGAATAAAGAGTGCAATTACGAGAATTTAAACTCAGGACCTCCTGTTCTAATACTATGTTAGTTTACCATTCCATCTCAAAAGCTTAAACTTTTAGGATAAATTGGTAAACTAACATATTTTAAAGATAAGGTTCGAAACAACTATTATCATCGGTACCTTACTAGAATAATTTGCATTCATAATTTGAGTATCAGTATGTTGCATGCATATATATATATATATATATATATATATATATATATATATTACATGCTACTAATGTTCACACAAGATAAAAATTAGAAAAAGAAAAATAAAATAACTGAAAAGATAATGGTATTTTCTCTCAATAATATTTATTACACATGCAATTCGAGTAAATTAAGTCGACACTCACTAAAGACTCATCCGATTTCTTGTACAGGTAATTTCATTAATTCAAGAATAAAAATATTGTCTTATAAGTTTGTCCTTCCCAAATTCAAACTCGTTAGATTTGAATGCCTGAAGTTGAGAAGGAAATTGAAGAGAAAGTTACTTTGTGATTATAAAATAGGCCTGTTACTCGGGGCATTACTTTTTGATCAACGAGTAACGTGTTAAAAGATATATTTACAAAAAAAAAAAAAAAAAAAAAAAAAAAAAAAAAAAAAAAAAAAGATGAAAGAAGAATAGTTAATCTACTTCCACTTATTCCGAACCCAAAATTTGTTGGTTTATATCCTAATGAGCACCTTAAAAAATATATATATATATTTTTGTATATAAAGAAGAAAAAAAAAAAAAGTCCTGAGAGGAGACTCGAAACAAATAAGTGCAAGATAGCACCATTAGGCACAAGCAAAGAAGAATAGTGGTCACATTATGTATAGTGAATTGGTGCTTTAGTGTTCGCCTAGGAATTAAGTACTCCCTAGTGAAGGGACCAAATGTTGAGTGGATGAAAAGGGAGAGAAAAGAAGACATGATTGTTTATTCTGAGGAGAAGGTCCAAAATTAGTTAATTTCAGGAATTAATTAGTAACAATTAGCAATAAATTTTTTTAAAATTTTTATTTTTATGCCGCATGCATATATGAAAGTAACTTTAAAAAAAAAAAAGTGATTATGAGCTACTAAGATTCTTCAATCAGATATGTATGGATATTATGCTTCACCAAATATGGTAGGTTGTTTCACTTGATTTGATGTTCAATTCCCATGTTTGAGGGGAAATGGAGCTTTATAGCCCAGGTAAGTTATTAACGTTATATCTGGTTAAAATCATATTAAAATTAAAATTATGTCACGATGGTTCAAAACAGATCCCCTCTTCATACTCATAAACATAGAATTCTCAAAAAAGAACAAAAAAAAAAATACAGGGATCATATTGGGTGAAAAAAGAGTTTATACAAGCCATCCTGAACCGATAGCAACCGCCTGAGTTCTGAGAAATTAGAATGAACATTTTTTTTTTTTTGAAAGGATTTCATTTTATTTTATTTTATTTTTTGAGAAGAATATTATCACTTATTCTAATGAAATTATTTCAACATTAATTTTATAGAACATATCCATAAAAAAGAATCGTGTATATTTATCACTTAATAACAAAATGATTGATGAAAAAAGATTTCAATACATGGTAAGAACACAACTTTGTGAAAATTTCATAGTACATTAGACTGACCTACAGAATCCTGTGGACAATTTTTCAACTTTTAAGGGGAAGTTTTCAACATTAAATTGACCTATAGAATCCTGCACAAATTTTTTCAAGATTTATATTACAGCATTTACAAAATCAATGAGTATGCACAACCAACATGATGGGCTGGTAAGGTAGCTGCAAGAATTATATACCATATCCCAACGAGTAGTGCAATATAAATGCATTGTTTTATATGGAATTCCATAGTTACTCGGGTAGTAATGGTAATCTGTCTACACAGTAGGGAGAGACATTGGTGTTACCCTTACTGTTGACGAAATCATCGAGCTCGCTATCAGACACAGACATATCATTCTGTTTAGTGTCGTCTTCTTCGTTTTTCCGAACGTGTAAAGGAAGGATACACAGCCGTGTTTCTGCACCTGAACCTATTCTTTCAGCTTCAAGTTGGTATCTTCGAATAAGGTCAAGCTGAAGCGTCATGATGCGGGTTGGTCTTGGAAGTAGTTCTGCAGGTTCTCCTTTTGGGATCACAACCTGCTCAATGGCCAATCTTGCCTCCTGTAAGATGGAAAGTATTTCACTCTTAAAAGAGTAATGATGCTTGTTCAAGCTTGTTTATGCAATCCAATGAGCAATCGCCCGATAAGGACATTTCAGATATAAACCCTTAATCTACTAAGAGAAGCCCAAATTTCATAAAAATGAGGACAAACTAATCAACTTGAGAAAATATCTTGTGGGCCAGACTTCTTTTTTCAACTTCTATGGCACATTGAATCCATTATGGATAAAAGGAACTAAACTATGATGTGGAAATCAAATAAATTTTGTGAATACAGGGACAAGCTAAGGCATTTCTTCAGGAAGATTTCTTAAGCCAGAAAAGAAAGGAAGATTTCATATCAATACGTCCATTAAATGATTCATACCGATTCTATTAGGGTTTAAGCTCTTCTAATGCAGATCCCAGATTTTTACAAAGGGAAAGATAAATTTTTTTTTCTTTTTTTTTTTTTTTTTGAAAAACGGAATGAAAACCTTTATTAATGAAGAAAGAGTGAACAAGAAACAGAGAGGAAGAAGTATCCTCCACTAATCCAGTTCCAAAAATACAGGATAATCAAAACAAAACCAGACCAACTAAACAACTAGGACAGGGCTATAAAAAAGGAGCCCAACTCCTAACAAATTCCGAAAATTGAGGCTTTCCAAAATCTTTATTCCTATAAACACTTTATTTTATCCCAAAAAAAAAAGACTCATCCTCCCCTTAATCCTCAAAAATTATATTATTCCTTTCCAACCATATAGCCCAAAAAATAGCTAAAGTTGCAGCCCTCCATAAAATCAGTCCGTTTTCACTAAAACGAGATGGAGGAGAGAAAACCAGCAACTAAGCACAACTTCTAGGCGTGACCCAAGAAAAACCAAACTCCTTAAGCAGAGAAGACCAAATCATGCATGTTGACGGTAAAAATGACCAATTTCGGAGGAACCAATCTCTAGAAATTGAGATCCGATTCTAAAAGATCAAAAAACCATCAATGAATCGAAATAAAGATCAAAGTACAAGAGGACACAAGAATTTAGAGTGGTTCAACCTAATATGGCCTACGTCCACTATGATTGCTAAGTTTTTCATTGAATTCTGAGATTACACCCTCGAATTCTCAATTACATGCTTTCTCAACACTCAAGGAAAATAAGAAAAACGTAAAGTCTGGTAGAGAAATGAGAGTCTTGAACCCCTTCTTCGTCTCCTCTTCTCGCATTTATAGGTTGTCTCCCTTGAATAACCGTTCCTCTGTGGGTGTAACCGTCCAACCCACATTGACCACTTCCGCCTTTCTTGCCTCCCTCTGGACTTGACTTTTTGCTTCCCTCCGGACGTGACCTCTCGCTTCCCTCGTTGGTAATCTGCATCTCGTGGATTATTGGCGTGGTGGCTTCTTTATTTCCCTCGTTGGCAATCCGCATCTTGTGGGATTGCTGACGTGGTGATTTCCTTATTTCCCACATGAAAAAGTTGAGCGGAAGGTTTGACTTATTTTTACTCGCCCTACCCCAAGGGGATCCAAGCTCGAGGCACTAAGCCTGAGGCATTGAGCCTGAGGCATTTGGCCTGAGGCATTTAGCCTATCCCTTCTCACTTACCTACCTGAAGTATCCCTTCACACTTATCTACCTGAGGTACTCCTTTTCAATTACTTACTTGAGGTACTCCTTTTCACTTACGTACTTGGGGCCGCCCATCTCACTTCTGTACCTGGGGTCGCCCGTCTCACTTCTATACCTGGGGTCGCACGTCTCACTTACCTACCTGGGGTCGCCCGTCTTCACGTACTTACCTGGGGTCGCCTATCTCACTTCTGTACCTGGGGTCGCCCGTCTCACCTACGTACCTAGGGTACCCCTTCTGACATACCTAGCTGAGATCGCCCTTAAGGTAATCCAAGTTGTTTACCCCACTTAACATACTAGGTAACTTAACTCAACATGCCCAGCTCAAGGTATCGAGCTCAAGGTACCAAGCTCAAAGTATTGAGCTCAAGTTACAAAGCACAATTTGAGCTTCGAGTTTTGAAGTAGCCTACGTGGAATACCACGTTAAACTTGTGAGAAATTATGCTATAACAATGCGGGAATAGGAACAATGAAGGAAAAGGTGATCATTTGTCTCCCCATTGTTCCGGGGTCCGAGTAGAACATAAATAAATGAATTGAAATTTTATTGATTATTCTGAGGAAAGTACAATGAATTTCCAAGAGATTGTGGGTGGGTGGATTGAAGTGGTTAACCACAATCCCCAATGAAAGAACGATTAGTTTGTTACATAGTTGTTCGTTCTAAGTTTTTCTCCAACGCTTTGGGTGATTGAGTTCCAACTTTCACACACACACACACACACACATATATATGTATGTATTTTGTCAATGTGCTTTGGTTGTTCTGTGTTCTCTTGTTATTGTATTGTCACTTCTTGTTGTGAATGGACTGAAGTAAACCGTAATTGGAGAGTTCAAGATTCCTTCTTTCTATGGGGTCCCATTAGAATGGGCAAATTAGGAAATCCTCCAATCCACTCTCTTTACTTGATTTCCCATGAGAGTTAGTCTACCACCTTTTGATAAGAATGCTTTCTTCCACCCATCCCATCTCTTTGCCACTCTAGAAACCACCAGATCCCAAAAGGTTGTTTGCAAAGGGTTTCCGCCTAAAGGTAACCCCAAGTATTTGACTGGCCACAAACCAACGGTACAACCAACAACACTTACCAGTCTAGACAATCTATCTTCCTCCAAATTTAAGCCCAGAATAACGTTTTTATCCAAATTTATTTTCAAGCCTAATATTAAACAAAAAATCTACAAAATAGCAGATAAATATGACAAACTTACCTCCTCCCGTGAACTAAAAAATAACGAGTCATCAGCAAATTCTAGATGACTGATTTTGACATTTGATCTCCCCACACTAAGCGGATTAAAGAGAGAAACTTCAACAGCCCTATCAACTAACATGCTTAAAATATCAACCGCAAGAGTAAATAGATATGGGGCAATGGATCTCCCGGCCGCAGCCTTCTGCCACAGCCTTCTTGAAGCTGAAAATTTGCCCCAGCCTGCTATTAATCATCACTGAATAAGTTACCAAACCAATACAGCTCGTTATCCACCTTCTCCACCTGGCTCCAAATCCTTTTTTCTCCAAGACAAAGTCTAGATCCATTCAACATGATCATGGGCTTTTTCAAAAACAATTTTTCCCACCACACCCTCTCTTCCTGAGACCTATAGTCCTCCACCACCTCGTTAGCTACCAAAACTAGATCTCAAATCTGCCTCCCTGCCACAAATGACCCTCGAACTTCTGAAATTGTCTCTTCCAGAACATCCTTGAGCCTGTTCGACAACACCTTGAAAATAATTTTGTATAGGCTCAAGACCAAAGTAATGGGTCTAAAATCTTTAATCTGACAAGAATTAGCCTTTTTGGGATTAAACCAATCTAACTTTACTCCACTCCACTCCACTCCACTTTTTTCGCACCAATTGTCACTGTACTGTGCTGATTCACCCTTGATAACTACTTATTGTCTTCTTCCCAGTATAATTCATCCCTCCCCGACCTTGATCCCCACCATTCCTACCAGCTTCTAAAGTACTTCCCGCCATCCAAACAACCCTTCATATTGTCCTCCAAATCAAATGGTGCCACTGATGCTAGATGAGAGAGGTTTAAGACATTTTTGACTTGGAGCCTGCTCCTCATAAAATCCAAGAAAATTGTTACCCTCATGGCTTTCATTAGCTAACTCCTCTGGACTTTTCGTAAGAAGACTCACTTCTTTAAGTCCCATGAAACCTTCTCAGTCATCCAATCCCTCACTCTCCTTCGTCGAACAGAATGAAGAAACGGAACGCAAACTACTTTCGTCTTCCGATTCATGCCCTCCTTGAGGTGGAAGGTCGCAATCTCTTTCAGAGTCTGCATGACCTTCTTCTACTATAAGATTCGGTTCTCTATCAACCCCATAATCGCTTGGATCTTTGCTTTTCTTGGGTCTTCTAGCTCTTGGATAAAAAAATAAATAATAAAATAATAAAAAATAAAAAAAAAACGGCTTAATTCTACGATTCTCCAACTCTCGTTTGCTTCAATAGTGTAGAACATGCCTTTTGGGATTTTTCTTCCGAAATTCATCTTCCCACTTTTATATTTCAGCCTAATAAAATCAGACTTATTTTTGGGTCAACCGACAACCCACCTGATTTCTTATGGCCCTAGACGGTTCTAAACATGCCTTACCAGTGCCCACCTTCAAGTCTCCCAATTCTGGAATCCCATCAATAAGCCCAACTGTTGTAGGCCTAATTTTTTATTGGGCTTGATCACTTTTAATTATCTCATCTCCCTCTGAAAAATTATTTTCTCCCAAAATCCTAAATTTATTGGAAAGAAATAAATTCCTCTTTTTAGGCAGTAGGTGAAATTAATAAGCTTCAAGAACGAGAATCAGCTCTTGGACTACAGATTCTATCGAATCTCCCACTTCCCTTGAAACCGGCTCATAATCTTTAAAAACTCACCCCTTTCATTTGATAGAATCTCTGCCAGTAAGGTCATTGATGAGTTCGTGAACTTACGTTTGAATCCCTGCCCAACTTCCGACTTGCAGATAAATTCCCAGAGTGTCACTCAACCAGAAGGTTGCATCAATAGAACAAGAAAGAATCTGCGATTCTTCTTAACCTCCTCAAATTTAATATAAACCCCATCTCGTCCTAAAGAGATGATGAACAACTTTGAACTAATTCTAAACTCATGTTTGGAAGGGTTAATAGAAACCGAATTGATGGTATTGAGCTTAAACAAACAAGGTGTGACATTTATAGCCCGTTTGGTTCATGGATTAGAACCATGAGATTAGAACCATTTTCGATTTACGTGTGTTTTTTGTGAGAGAAAATACTGTAGCGAATCATGAACCATGATTCGAATCAGAGAACGAATCCTCCAACCAAACAGGAAGTGACTTCTAAAGAGAAGGGAGAGCATCTCTCTCTAAGTCATATGTGTTTTATGAAAGCTTAAAGGGAAAGATAGAATAGTCATCTCTTGCCAGCTAAAAGCTCCAAGAGAAAAGGTTTAAAAAATAAAATTAATAAAGATTTATTGTTACCTCTAATGCATCAGTCTTCTCAGATGACTTCACCTTTTCTACTGATTCAAGATCATTCAAACCATCTTCATGATCACTCATTAATGCCCGAATCGCCTTTCTTATTTGCACCAGCGAGCTTGTCTAGAAGGAAAAGGAGACGTGCATGGTCAAAACTTGATCATGAAGAGTTTACTTCAAGACTAAGAAAGCAATGTCACTCACCTTAGTCATATAAATTGGTATGTTATGAGATTTAACAGCAGCTTGAATTCGGGGATTCTTCTTGAGCTTTGACTGCAAGGCAAGCAGCGCGTCTGCTTCGCTGATATTGTTGGTTAAGCAAATAGCAGCATCATCAATCTTCAATTGCTTAATCCCTTGTATCACGCTGGCCTCTAGGATCTAGAATAACTTCTTGTTCTATGAGTCGCATAATTGGAAATTTTAGTATAAATTTTTGTTTTATTCATTTACCAGAATAGTAACGCTTTTTCAAACAATTAGTACAGAGTGCCCCTCTGCAGGTTTGAAAATAAAATCTAGTTTTACCAAAAAGAGGTTGTGTCCTAAGAAACAGACATTTACTATGGAATAAATTTTTGATAGGCCAAAAAGGATAGTAGTATTAGAAAGAAGATGGACAATGATTTGCTAGTCAGTTCTTTCATTTTCTTTTTTTCCTTTGATAAAGGATTTGCTAGTTAGTTAACCATACTACTAAACTTGTCAATGTCATGGTGTTTATTACCCCGTAAACAAACAGGCGGAGTGGAATCGTTCCTTCCCCAGACGCTTCTCCCATGTTTGGAGAGACCTCAGAAGTGAATTCCTTGTAATAAGTTCCATTTTCAATCAGCTCTGGAGCTTCTTCATCCATTAGTTCATCCTCCGTATCAAAAGAATTGCAAATAAAAGGCTCTCTTTCTAAAGTATCTTCCAACTCATTAGACTTTATCTTCCGAACTTCAACATTTGGAAAACGGCCTTCAATAAAGAAAAGTAATCCAACCAAAAAAATATAAATTAGCGTCTTCTCATGATTTTCAGTGTATTAGCAGATCGAAGTGTGTTAGAAATGGATTTTTTTTTCCTTCCCTGGCAAAGGAGTAAAAAATTTACCTGCGAGAATGGCGTCCACTGTTGTTTCTAAGCTACGATGAACTCTCAACTCTGTCTTTGAAACTATTTCCACCGCGCAACTAAATGTTGCAGGACCTTTCCTTTCCAACACGGACTTCTGCACACCCCGCCTGCTTGCCTCTTCATCCCCTAGTGTTACACTCTAAAATATGATCGCATAAATGTCACTTATATTTAACAAATGATTACAGATATTAATAAAGCACTAAAATATAAACAGGTTTAATATAAATGCAGCAGAATCAGACGGCTTCATTCCAACTACCACCAAAGGAATTTGATATCAACATTATGAAAATGAAAAGGCTACATAAATACAAACCATACAATTATAAGTGTGTGTCAGTTAGGGGTGTTGGTTATAATGTCTGTATGTAAAAAGCACTCAACATAGCTACTCAATAGAAAAGTATAAACATGCAATACATATGCGCGTGAACATGCTTCGTGTGGGGGTGAGGGGCGAAGGAGAGCAGTTAGCTTATAAATACGATATGATGTTCTTCCTTGAGACTCCTTTAGTAAATCAACTGGACCATTAAATGTATTTCTCAAATTTCATGCGATTGAGAAGAACATACCAAATTGGTAATCACATCTTGGAGATTTCTTTGCACCTTTTCATCAACAAAATAACCCTCCATTACTACGAGGGTTGCAAGTTTTATTTCCAATGCATAACAGACATAGAAGTAAGCCAAATCAATCACTTACGTTGGCAATAGCTGTTTAATTCTCCTAGACTCTCATTCTCTTTATTATGCATCAGTAGGTCGAGTAATCTTGCATTCCATATCATGCAATGGAGAAACGATCCGTAGTCTATATTTCAAGACACTGATTTTAAATTCTAAGTTTCAACACGTGATTTTCTGGAAATGACTAGCTGCCAAATTCAGACTTCACTTGCATTCATCCTTAGAACGTTCAAAGGCAAATATAGTCCTATAGCATTGTAATATTGGATGTGGCAAACATTAATAAAAGATTTTCCATGTGCTTAGACAGCAGTGAACAATCTTGACATTCTTACGATGAGTCTAATGATTTATGCGCCATCTGAAGAATATAAATTCTTGAATATCTCCTATTTATAGCGAACTGAAGTATCGATTAGATTATAATAATCTCACCTGTATTCCTCCCACAAGCATTTCTAGTGAAGGATTCATTATCAAATTCTTAATCGTCACTCCATGTGCAGTGGCAACGAGCTGAATACCACGCTGGGCAATCGTGCTGGCAGCCATAGCTTCAAGCTTTGTGCCAATTTCATCAATTACAATTACTTGTGGCATATGATTCTCAACTGCTTCTATCAGTACCTAAACAAGAAATATACGAGCATGAGCAACCTTGACAGATTCTAAAAAGAAATGAGATAGACGTGACGTATTAAGATAACTGGAAAATTTCATCGTTCAATATACAGTAATGGCACTGACAACAAAGTGACGTCCAATTCCACAGACCCAATTGAAACTTGTTGCATTTATTGTCCTTTTGAATCACATTATCGCACATAAAATGTGAGTTATCATTGAAATTTTCTATATTAGAAGGCTCACATAGAAAACTTCTATGATCCAAAACGCCCATAAATAGGAACAAGACTATTTTTCGAGAATTGTAGAATCTAGTACCCAGTTATCTTAGAAGACCCATAAATAAGAAGTAACAGTTTAGTATTCTATAGACACTAAATATCATTCTAGATATGGGAGAGATGACAAATTGTCGGTTTATCAAATCAGATTGATTTGATTGGACTCTACTGGAATAAATCAATTTTGAAGATTTTGAATTAATTTGAAATATTCAAATCTTCCCTTATTGGTTATCCGGTTGTTTAGGATTAGATTTTATTCAATAAAATATGATTTGATTGTACAGCAAATCAGCCGCATTATTAGGAAGATTTTCTTTATTCTGTTAGTCAGCCTACTTTGGCTGCCTATTTAAGTGTATTTCTGCCACAATGAATAAATAATAATCTACTTTCATGGTATCAGAGCCACTCTCTGAACCCTGATTTCTCTGTCAACCGTAATGCCAAAATACAGAATGGCCAGCAGGAAAGAAACCTCATCGTCCAAGGTTACCTCTGCTTCATCAGGGACTGTCAATCCGACTCCAACTAATGGATTTGAAAGCCCCCTTTCAGCAAATCACGAGTCACAAATTCAATGGACGGAATTTTGTCCAATGGTCATATTCTGTCATGATGTTCATAGAAGGGAAAGGAAAAGAAGACTATCTCACCGGTGATGCTGCACAACCGAATGAGAAGGATCCAAGTTTAAAACTTGGAAAACAGAAAATAGTATGGTTAGGTCATGGCTGATCAATTCCATGAATAACGAGATAGGAGAAAACTTCATGTATTACAAAACTGCAAAAGAGATGTGGGATGCCGTGAAGCGGAGTTATTCCAACAAGGAGAACACTTCAGAAATCTTCAGACTCAAAGGTATTCTGAATGATCTTCGCCAAGAAGAACTCAACGTAACGGAATACTTCAACACTCTATCACGCTACTGGCAGCAACTGGATATCTTTGACGAAACAGCATGGCACTGTGCTGAGGATCACAAGCGGTATAAGGAAATTCAGGAAAGAGGTCGAGTTTACAAGTTTTTGCTTGGTCTTAATAAAAACCTAGATGATGTTCGTGGAAGGATCTTAAGTACTAAGCCTCTACCAGAAGTTCGTGTAGTTTTTTCAGATGTAAAGCAGGAAGAGAGCCAAAAAAGATTGATGTTAGGAACCCTTAATGATGATGCTGCAATCTCAAATTCCAATGATGTTGGAATCTCAACCACGGATACCTCTGCTTTAGCCGCCCAGGGACCACAATCCAACAGCGAGAACCAACAAAGAAGGAACCGGCCTTGGTGTGATGATTGCAAGTGACCTGGACACACCAAAGATACTTGCTGGAAAATCCATGGAAAACCAGCAAACTGGACTCCTCGAAAGCAGAATGAAGGAAGAGGCTTCCAACTCTCCCAAGATAAACATGGAATGGATGCTCCCACACAAGAACAGCATGCAGACTCTTCGATTGCACTGCATAAGGAGCAGCTAGAGCAACTTTACCGTCTTCTCACTCCAACACCAGCACCATCTAAGCCAATTTCCAATGTAAGATTGTGCACCATAACACACAATGGTAACCATTCAGCCTTGCTCTCTTCACTTCATACCCAAGAACCATGGATCATTCATTCCGGTGCCTCTAACCACATGACAGGTTGTTCTAAACACTTTTCCTCCTATACTCAGTGTTCTAGTACTGCTAAAATTAAGATTGCAAATGGATCTCTACCTACTATTGCTGGAATAGGTTCAATACAAGTCTCAAAAAACCTTATTCTTCATTCTGTCCTACATGTTCCAACCTTGAAATGCAATCTGCTGTCCATTAGTAAACTCACACGTGACAATAACTGTGTAGCTAATTTTCATCCTTCCATGTGTCAATTTCAGGACCTATCATCGGGAAAGACGATTGGCAGTGCTAGAGCCTATGAGGGACTTTATTTCCTTGAGAATTCAGAATCTAAGAGTCGACAAGCAATTGTGTAAGGAGTGTCACCTATTTCGGTTTCTACTGATAGAGAAATAATGTTGTGGCATCATAGACTTGGCCACCCCAGTTTTTCATATTTAAAGTTTTTGTTACCAACTCTATTTAGAAATAAAGACTCTATTTCATTTGCTTGTGATATTTGTCAACTTGCTAAGCATACTCGTGTTCCTTTCTCACCAAAACCATATGCACCCTCTATGCCTTTCTCCTTAATTCACAGTGATATATGGGGTCCATCTAGGGTAACAGCCTTAAATGGAAAACGATGGTTTATCATGTTTATTGATGACCATACACGGGTAACTTGGGTTTACTTGCTTAAAGAAAAATCTAAAACTGGCCAAATTTTTCAAACCTTCCACAAAATGGTTCAAACTCAATTTCAGAAAAAAAAAAAAAAAATTCCAGTTTTAAGAACTGTTAATGGTGGTGAATATTTCCAGTCCACTTTGGGTAATTATCTTGACCAGCATGGAATCGTTCACCAAAATTCTTGTACTGATACACCACAGCAAAATGGAGTTTTAGAAAAAAAGAATCGACATCTGCTGGAAGTGGCCCGTGCACTTATGTTCACTATGAATGTACCCAAATATCTGTGGGGTGATGCCATTTTAACCGCTGCCTTTCTCATCAATAGACTACCCAGCCGCCCCCTCAAATTTAAATCCCCATTGTCCGTCCTTGCAACCCAAGTTCCACACCTTAATATCCTCACCAATAACCTTCCTCTCAAAACCTTTGGTTGCACTGCATTCATCCATGTCCATTCCCAACACCGCTCCAAACTCGATCCCCGAGCCATAAAGACTATATTCCTCAGCTATTCTCCAACAAAAAAGGGATATCGATGTTTCTGCCCTAAAACAAAAAAATCCTTTGTTACCCGAGATGTTACCTTCTTTGAAGAGATACCATATTATTCCCACACTTCGCTTCAGGGGGAGAGTAGTGATAAAAAAGCTTATGTGTGGGAATGGGACACCACAGTTGAAGAAACTTCGTTACCCACAATTGAAGGAACTTCGGTCCCATAGTCAGCCACCATTGTCGAGATTCCAGCTCCAGCCCAAACCGAAACAGAGCCTGAAGCTCCACAGCCACTGCAGCCATCTTCCCAGCCACTTTCACAGCCAACCCTGCAGCCATCTTCATTGCCAATTCCACAACCACCTCCTTCAGTTTCAAATCAACAAGAGCTGCAAGTCTACTCTCGAAGGAAAAATTTTCAAGGAAATAAACAACTCACAGGCACTACAGGCTGCCCTCAATCCGAACCTATGGTAGGTTCTAGTCTTTCATCCTCAGGTAATCCTGAAACTCTCCATGATAGGCTAGATGATCCCATTGCTCTAAGAAAAGGTGTTAGGTCAGGTAGAAAACAGCCAATTTCCAAATTTGTGTCATATGATAATCTATCACCCTCGTTTCGTGCTTTCACAACAAACCTTTCTAGACTTGATGTTCCCAAGACAATTGAGGAAGCTCTAGCTGTCCCAGAATGGAAGTCTATTGTGCTAGAAGAAATGTGTGCCCTTGAGAAAAATGAGACTTGAAGTCTAATGGAATTACCACAAAACAAGAAAGTAGTGGGATGCAAGTGGGTGTTCACAATTAAAGTAAAACCAGATGGTTCAGTAGAGCAGTACAAAGCCCGATTGGTGGCAAAGGGCTTCACACAAACCTACGGGATAGACTACACAGAAACGTTTGCTCCAGTTGCAAAGCTCAACACTGTTCGAGTTCTCTTGTCTTTAGCAGCAAATATGGATTGGCCTACGTATCAACTTGATGTGAATAATGCCTTCCTGAATGGAGAGCTAGAAGAAGAAGTATATATGAGTCTCCCTCCCACCTGGTTTCTATGAAGGTAAACGGGACAATACAGTGTGTAAGTTGAAGAAGTCGTTATCCGGTCTAAAGCAGTCACCCAAGGCCTGGTTTGAAAGATTTTCTAAAGTAAGCAAAGGTCATGGATACTTACAAGGACAATCAGATCATACTCTCTTCGTCAAACATTCAACAAACAACAAAGTTACAGTTTTGATCATGTATGTGGATGGCATAATATTGACTGAAGATGATTTTCAAGAGATGGAAGAAATTAAGAAGATTATGGCAAGGGAATTTGAGATCAAGGACCTGGGATTCATGAAATATTTCCTAGGAATGGAGGTTGCAAGGAGTAAAAAGGGAATCTCCATATCACAAAGGAAGTATACGATGGATTTATTAGAAGTGACGGGAATGCTCGGTTCTAAGCCCATAGACTCTCCGATTGAACCGAGAGGAACGAAGAATTTGGTTGATGGAAATCCGGTAGATACAGGTAGATATCAAAGGCTTATGGGAAGACTGATCTATCTCTCACACACTCGACCAGACATAGCATTTGCAATTAGTGTGGTCAGTCAATACATACATTCACCGTGCCAAAGACATCTTGATATAGTTTATCGTATATTAAGATATCTGAAGAAGAGTCCAATGAGAGGACTATATTTTTGGAAAAACGAGGATAGGAAAGTAAAAATCTACACGGATGCAGATTGGGCAAGTTTTGAAAAAGATAGGAGGTCAACATCTGGATATTGCACTCAACTTTGGGGAAATCTGGTGACTTGGCGTAACAAAAAATAGGTTGTAGTTGCAAGGAGCAGTGCCGAGGCTGAATATAGGGCTATGGCTCATGGCATTTGTGAGGCAATCTGGATAAAGCTACTATTGGAAGAATTAAGAATTGATTGTGAGTTCTCTATGCAGCTCTATTGCGACAACAAAGCTACGATCAGCATAGCACATAATCCGGTTCATCACGACATAACTAAACACGTGGAGGTGGACAGGCATTTCAGCACAGAGAAAATTGAAAGTGGGATAATCAGTGTGGGATATATTCCTACAAAGCAACAAGTGGCTAATATTCTCACAAAAGGACTGCACAGACCAGCATTTGAAGCATTAGCAAGCAAGCTCGAACTCATAGACATCTACGTCCAAGCTTGAGGGGGAGTGTCGGCAGATCAAATCAGATTGATTTGATCGGACTCTACTGGAATAAATCAATTTAGAAGATTTTGAATTAATTTGAAATATTCAAATCTTCCCTTATTGGTTATCTGGTTGTTTAGGATTAGATTTTATTCAATAAAATCTGATTTGATTGTTATAGTAAATCAGCCGCATTATTAGGAAGATTTTCTTTATTCTATTAGTCAGCCTACTTTGGCTGCCTATTTAAGTGTATTTCCGCCACAATGAATAAATAATTGCAGCTTATCTCTTTCAAATCTGCTTTAACAAATTATTCAGAAGCATAGAAAAGTTTAATTGTTTACTATAGAAACTAAACATCATTCTGTTTATGGGAGAGAGGACAAATTAATAAGCATAAAAAAATTTGCAGGAGACTGGAAAACCTTGTATAGATTTCCCAAGACTATCACAATGATTACCCACTCTATCTTTCCCCCCTTTTTCCGCCTTCAAGTAGTAACCACGACCTATAAATTTCTACTTATGTTTTGTGCATTGATGTTAATAATAAATATTTGAAGTTAGTGTTGAGTCATACTCTAGCTCAGATAACAAATAAGTCAACATAATTTTAGATGAATATTGTGAATCTCACTCAGCAAGATGATTTAAATCCGTCAGTGAGCTCAATAATATTTCAATTTCAAACACCATCTAGTCAATGAAGAGAATATAAACAGCACATGTTTATCCATATAGCTGACGATATCCCACAGTTTTAGATCATACCTCATGTTGCCTATTGGAGTCTGGGACTTGCATCCGACGTGCATTACCTATTCCTGCATGAGGTATATCGCCATCGCCACCAATTTCATTCGAGGTGTCAACAATCATGACACGTTTGTTGTAATCATTTGCAAGCATCCGAGCTATTTCCCTGTAAATTAAAACTCCCGGAAGTGGTCAGTCACGCATCCATATACATTTACCAACTGCAATTTCATTGATGCAATAAAAACCATTTTAAGACGTAGAAATATACTTTAAAGAGAAAAAGACTCTGAAATATATCCCTATCCATTGACAGGAACTCTGTGCATATAAAAAATAATAATAATCATAATCATAAACACATACACAATCACTTTGTAGAGACCCAACGCTCTTAGAAAACTTGAGATGTAAAAGACTATCAGCATTTAAATGTTATTAGGACTCAGTCTTAACCAATAATGCTTAGGAGTAATAATAACCACCCTTTTGGAAACAAAACTTTCTATCAGGCCAACACATGGGGACCTAAATAGCCAAGTCCAAAAAGAAGGCCTACAAATATGTTTAGACTACAAGCTTCAAAAGCTTAAAAACGAAAATATTTTAGCATAACTTCCTTTTGCCAACCGATAGTATATCAAGATATCCCTTCATCAATAAAGTGCAACGAAAGTAGATTTAAGACACCCAAAGGGTAAATCTCACTAGTGCCCCTTAAACTTTAAAAATTCTCACTTCGCCACCTGAATTTTAAATTAGGCCCTCTTAACCCCTCTGTTAAAAACAGACAAAAATAGGGAGTCCATCAAGAAAAATAGGGGGTTAAGTGTGGTCATGTGGTCTTTTTCATTTGTTTTTAACAGAACTTCAACAGAAAGTCCACGTGATTGCACTGCCTCCTTTTTTCTATTTGTTTTTTAAAACAATTCTAACAGCAAAGGGTTAAGTGGGATAAATTCAAAATTCAGGAGGCAAAGTGATAGTTTTTAAAGTCTAAGGGCCAAACTAGGAATGACCCTAAAGTTGAGGGAGCATCAATGAGAATAATCCAACACCCAAAAGATATGAGCAAAGCAAAAAAACAACGAATCCATACCTCACGAAAAGAAAAATAAATAAGAAACAACCGGAGATTTAAAAGTTGTGGAAAAATTGTTCACACACAAAAGTTTTGTTGGTTCAAAAAGAAAATAATTAATCTTGAATTCCATCCAGAAACAATATAGTATTAGAGATTTAAAAGAATAAATAATCTGGATCAAGTTGGAAATACAAGTCTTAAAACAAATCAGTGCAGTAATATTCTGCTTCTAGGACAACAAGTAGCCAACCAAAAAGTGCAACAGAAAATAAAGTATTCAACACACACGTTAAGTTAAAAGTAAAAAATTATAAAACTTATAAGTAGATAGAATTGCACTCTTTGACACTTGAGCAGATCTAAAATCTAATTATATAAAAGAAGGATTAAATTCTCTAACAAAGTCAGGACCTTGACAAAACCACACTAACAAAAATAATAAAATCTAAAATCAAGATGGCACACCTCATTATGAAATAGTCTTAAATTCCTAGTTAGCATAACATCTGAAATATCATAGTTATATAGAATGTGCATTACAACCACGAAGGCCAAGGAAACAAAATGTCATATCCTGATCACTAGAGCAAATTAATGGAAATGGCTACTTTATTGAATTGATGCAAGAAAAGGTAATAAATAATTACAAACTACAAAACCATATCTAGTGTTTCAACAAAAGAAAAACCGACCAACCTGATAATTGTGGTTTTTCCAACCCCTGGAGGGCCAATGAGCAATAGAGAGGCGCCGTCCTGGACTAAGTATCGCAACAAATTCGCACTTCCTGTGATCGCTCGACCAACACGACAGGTTAAACCAATAATGGCACCCTTCCGATTTCTGATGGCACTAATACGGTGCAATGTCCTACTGATTCCTGCTCTATCATCAATCGCAAAGTCACCAACCTGCAATATGTAATTCATAATGCATGAAGCATGACTTTTTTGCTAGCAATGAACAAAGTAAAATATTACAATCAAGGAGGAGCATGAATTTTTCTATCATGAAACCCTAATCCGCTAAGCGTATCATTTTAGCTTCCAGCATGAAAACCACAATTGTCTACAACAGTAAAGTTCACCAAATATGTAATTGCAGACCGGTTTCCAAGACTTTTATATATCACTAACTTTCAATAGATATTTTGGCTCAACTAAAAGCACTTATAAAGAGTTAAAACTCTTCTAAAAAGCATCCAAACATTTCCAGAAACAACTCTTCCATTAGTACTTATATACTCTGATCTCATGGTGCTCAAATGTGTACTGTTATTTCAAAAATAATATCTACTTTTTCTCATGATTGTTAAGCCTTGAAACTTACAAAAATAAAATTTAAAATATTAAAATAATTCTAAAAGAACAACATCTAATGATTAAATTAAAAGATTAACATATCAACCAATAACAATCATATACAAAATTTGACACTGCTATACTCCGTGGAAAATTTACCACCAAGTATGGTATTTTCCAAATTTAGCATAAAAAATAGCATTGCATTGGAGAATGATTTTTTCACTCAAATGCCAAAATTTGGCATTGGCATCTCAATTTGACACTGCATTGAAAATGCTCTTCAACCAAAAAAAGATAAGGCTTTAGCATGAACTTAAAAGGTGAATGTATAGATTCGATACAGTTCAAAATATAGTGTATAATTTTCTGAGACAGTGAAAATGCAGGGTATAAAAATGAGGGGGGAAAAGAAAAACCTCCAAAATATAATTATGTCCCCCATCCACACACACACACACAAAACCCTACTTTCTCCAATTTTGTTAGTAGTGCTCCAAAGCTTATGAAAGAATTCAACAAACAGATGGTGGGCAAGTGTGTGTTTTCACCTGAGACGTAGCATATTGAAGATCCTGAAGAGTTATGGGCGAATCCGACAAGACAGAGTCTCCAGAAGGAAACCTGGCCAACGGCTTCCGACCAAAGTCCATAACCACTTCGATCAGTTGATGAAGCTCCGGATGCTCCCAAATCCTTTGCCTTATTTCCTCTGGCAAAAGCGCCAAAAGGCGTCCCAATTCGTCCTCAAAATCATCTTCCGACGAAGAACAAGAACAACTAAGGGACGAGTTTCGATACCCAGAAAAGGTTTTGGTTAGTGAGAGTGAAATGGATGAGTATTTGTATTTGGGACATTGAAGGGCGTAAGGGAAGGATTTTGTGGATGGGAATTTGGAAGCCGAAGCTTGCTTTAATGGCGGAATTTGAAGGAGAGGAAAACGCATGCATTGCATTGCATGAGTTTTTCTTCTTTTCTTTCAAGAACTACGGAAAATCGGTCGTCTTTGTAGTCTTCTATTTGATTTTTTTCTTTCTTTTCTTCTCATTTGTTTATTTTCGTTACTGTTATTTATGAATTAGAAGAATTCTTGTTATTCTCTTTTTGTAAATATTTTCTGGTCTATTCAGCGGATATGTTTTCTTTTCTTTTTGTTTCTTTCTAAAAAAAAAAAAATTAGTGGATATGTTATTACGGCCAGCCACACTTTTGGCGCAATTTCACATCTTTTTGCAAGCCTTTAAAGTAATTTTCACATAATAAAGAATGGCATAAAAAGGAGTATAAACTTTAAGGACTCGTTCATTTCACCGATTCGAGTTTTCAGTTTTAAGTTTCTACAGTAAAAAGCTCTCAGAAAATATCACATCAACTTTTTCTGCTACAGTAAAAAGCTCTCAGAAAGTGTCACATTTCAGCTCGAATTGAAAACTCGAATCCGCAAAGTGAACGAGGCCTAAGTCATTAGCGCCAAAAAAAAAGTGTAGCATAGCAAAAAAAGTGTAGTTAAATGTTACTGTTTTTAAAAACTTTTATTGTAATAAAATTCAAATCAGTAAAATAAATAAGGCCATAATAATTCATATTAGTCATCTACGAGTTAAAATTCCATTTCTAAGTTATCCAAATAAGTATAAAACTTTATTAAAAAATAGAAAAGAAAAGCAAAAGTACTAAGTTTATACAAAAAATAATGAATAAATTTCATTTGCAAGTATTTGAATGTTCCAACTTTGCATTCTGGTATTGCTCAAAAAAAAAAAAAAAGAACTTTCCATACTGGTAATAGTGCCTTGAGTTTGAGAAATAGAGCTTTCTATACTACACAAACGTTACCAGGACGGAAGTGATGACATTTTAGAGAATGAGACGTTTAGTAGGGGGATTCATACATATCATGATTTGAATCATGGTTCATAGTTCACTACAGTGTTTTCCCTCACAAAAAATACACGTAAATTGAAAATGATTCTAATCTCATGATTTTAATCTATGAACCAAACATCTCCGACACTTAGACATGAAATATAAATACGTAGATGAATTATGCAAGTCTCATAAATAAAATTTCTACGTGCTATACTTAAAGCAAAGTGTGCTTTTTATTGGATAATAATAGTCTTAAAATCTTGGGCAAATACAAAAATAGTGAATTTCATGGTATAAGTAACCCTACTATATCAAAAGTGCCTTTTTATCTACTTTCATACCCACATAAATAAAGGCTTTTATATTTAAAAAGTTTATTATATCAACATTGATTTAGATCTCGAAATAGAAAATGGATTTACCATTTCCTCCAAAAAGAAAAAAAAGTGTATTTTACCATTTCTTTAAATCAGTCTCATGATGAATTGAAATAAACACTAGGATAATAGTTGCATTGCCCTTTCAATAACTAAAAAATTTTAAGAAATTTCTTTGGTAGGAAATGAAAAATAGTAAACTACCATACCACTCAAATTCCCCAAAATTTTTGAATTTACGGTTAAAGAGTGTATCTAATATGATAAACTGCCTAACCGATAGGAACTTTTCCATGTCCTGCAGCAAAATTCTCAACAAGGGACTAAAGGGCAATGAAAATCTGTCAACTTTGAGCTTCAAATCTATTCTCGAATGCAAAAATTTCCTGGGTTTAATTCCACTGAGGGACATGTTTATCCACCACGGCTTTTGGTGCTAATGAATTCACATCTTGTGCAGCCCAACATGATTTCCACACCCAATTTAAGAGAAGTGTTCAACACTTAGTCACCCCAATTTTTGCTAGTTGATTCAAGAAATTCAACAATTGAATACAAATCCAAAATGGACTCGGAAGAAGCACAACAGTGAAGCACATTAAAACCATGAAACAGTGAACAAAACGCTAAACAAAATCCCGACTTCTTCACGTCACCAAAAAATGTAAATTTCTACTCATGGAGAGCCTATTGCCTGCGCATTCCACGTCCCCGACCGCGAAAAGCAGCTCCTCCACGCCCTCTGCCCATGGCACCAGCAGCGGCTTCTCCCTGTGCACTCTCAGACTACACACCAACATCAAAAGCAACATTAATTAAACAGTTTTTAACAACACTGGACTAAGACACTAAACGAAATGCATAAAAACAATGATCAAGAATCCTTTAAAGTTAGCTAAAGCGGACATGACCTTAAACACGGCACAAATATCACATATAGAAGAGTCTTGCATGTAGAACAGTCTCAATAGTCGTGGAGAGGATTTCACTCAAAAGCCCCAGTGGATAAAGCAGTGTTAACCATTCGCTAGTATGAAGTTATACATGTTTTCATTATGCTGAAAGCAGCAATCATTTCTCTCCAATAATTTATTTTAAATGTTTTAAGTAAGAAAAAAAAAATCCTTTTCGAGAACTTTGAGACAATTTCTCTACTAGAAAAAATCTCGATAGTTCAGATTCACCGCATCTTGCGATAGTGAGAACGTGGACTAGGATTAGTTTTTCCTTCTTTTAGCTAACTTCATCCAAGTTGATTCTGTTATATTAGAGCGTCTTTATTTTAAGAATATGGAAAAACTCAAATTTTCATGTCAAGCTACTCAACCAATATATGATAAATTAGAGGGTAATGTAATTAGGGCTTTATTAACAGCAAGTTGTTTGTTATACCATAATCTTATCGACTAAATTTAAATTATATGATTTGCCAACCAACCAAAAGAAGAAAATGAACAAACAAAACAAAATCGCAGGATAAACGAGCAAGGCTAGAACAGTTAAATATGCAAATGCATATATAGGGTATACTATCCTGTGCCTCTCTTCTCTTTCACCCATAAATAAAAAAATTAAAGGAAAAAAAAAAAAAAAAAGAAAAAAAAAAAAAAAAAGAAAAAAAAAAAAAAAAAGAAAAAAAAAAAAAAAAAGAAAAAAAAAAAAAAAACTCTTTATGCCAATTATGACACCAACCCACGCCAGCCATCTCTCCTTCGTATTTAATAGTAAGCAGCAATTTATTCAGCTATCCCAAAAACTATTTTCATAACGCTGTAACAGGAGCGAACAACAGTAGATAAGATAGTAAAATCCGTTTTTCCTAAAGCGTCATAGAAAGTGTCCTCATTACCTTAGGGTTTTTTACTGTCTCATCTACACTCAAAACAAGGCAAGCTGCTTCAGTGGCAGCATTTATAGCATTGATCTGCAAAAAAGGTAAGGAAAAAAAAAGGTAAGCAGCATTTATAGCATTGATCTGCAAAAAAGGTAAGGAAAAAAAAAGGTAATTACAAACATTCAAATGCGCAAGTACATACCAAAAGAAAATATCATAGCAAGCACACGTCTATGTTATTACCTTTACAACTGATGGTTCCCACACAAAATTAGCACACGAATCTGCAATTCCACCAGTGTTAATGTCCACACCATAAGGTGCACCCTCACCTGTTAAAATCTTGAACAGTCAGTGAAGCAATTGCCAAGTTTTCTAGCTAGTGCAAGACCACAAAACCATCCATAATCTATCCTAACGATGGAAAATAAAATCTTTAACCACTGTCGACAACAGCCATGAATATTGAAATTAGCGTAATTTTTATACACTCACTCCAACACAGAAAGGAAAACTCGGTGATGGTTTCTAGTTTAGAAAGCAAAATCAAATCAATAATATTCAATAGAAGGCTCACCAGAGGGAAGTGCATGTTTTTGCCGCAATTTGTTTAGCACATCGGTTGCATCAAATCCAGCATTGTCACAGAGTTGTCGTGGGATAACCTACAACATACATTAAAAGCATGAGTAACAGATTCTAAATCCAGCGATATAGGGAGAGGAGAATTCGCCCTTGCACTTTCAGCTCAACAATGAATAAAATGATCTCTGAATGAAGAGGAAATCCACAATAATTATCTTTATTAAATTGGTATTATGTGTGCTCTCAGTTTAAAAGCCATTGTTTTCCACATGGAAGAACTAAAAGAAAGGCCGAACCGTCTTCAAACTAAGCCAAAGAAAGAAAAGGAAATCCAAAACTTGAAATGCTTGGCAAAGCCCTCCTCTCAGATCTAAAAGAAGAGGCAAAAAACAAGAACAAGCCTCCTTTCCTAGAGGAAGAGAATCATAAGGCAAAATCAAGCACAAAAGTTTTAGCCTTACAGTGGCTTAATCCGTAAAAGGTCATTCCCAAACCATAACTCCTCCATTCGGTGTGGTTAAAGCAAGATCAATCATCATCGAGCACAACTAATTATACAGATAAACAAATCACTGTTATGAGTGTTTTGGGATGAACTCTACAACGAACAAACAAATACTTAATTATCAAGAGTGGTCATTTGGATATCTTAGAATAAGCTACATGACCAAACTTCAAGATAACCCCTATACATTCAATTCCATCCATGAAACATATCTCCGTCCATTTTAGAAATTAGAACTCCTAAATGAATAACATAATGGAGAAGATTTTGATATGCACCGTATTAAATAAAATGCAGTTAAGATTCAGGAACTGCTATTCAAAGTACTCGGAGCTCAGGAAAATGCATACCTCAAGAGCCTTTGCATAAGAGTTCATGAAAAGTTGAGACTTCCCCGCTATTGTTCGTGCATGTTGCCTCAAGTATCGGCTTATCTCCATCTACCATAAAGTGTTAAGTTACTAGCAGCTAAGAAAATATTTATATTAAAAAAAAAAAAATCTCTAAAATAAGTTACACGAAGAAAACAAATATTATTGATAGTAATAAGCACATACATCTATGGCACCACCACCAGCAACTACAGTAGAGTTCTTCATAGCTCTTCTAACAATCATGATTGCATCATGTAAACTACGCTCAGCTTCCTCGATAAACTGGATACAAGTATCCAAGAGAAATAAGAGGTCAGCAATGACAAGGACAATCAAAAGTTCAAAGCACATCTACACTTCCCACCAATGGATACCTGATCAGCTCCACCACGAAGAACTATAGTTGCTGTACAACCTGATGGACATCCGCTAAATATATTAAACCTCTCATTTCCTACTTGCCTCTCCTCGAAAACTTCACATGTTCCAAGTACCTTGAACCAGATAAAGCTAAAAACTTTCAGTTCATGAAAAAAATAAAAATAAATATATTAAACCAGTGATAAAAACTAATATCAAGAAAATTGAAAAATCAGTTATGACTCTTTATGAAACTTGAGCCAGAGACCTCATCGATAATGTTGTTAACAGATGTCTGTACGGTTCCACCCGTAGCAGCAGCTACCCGTTGCAAATCTTCTTCAGTTACACGACCAGCGCAGAATATATCTCGATCTGCAAAATACTGGTCACAGACAAATCCTTCAACAACTCTATCAGTAAAATCTGCACTCTTCGGTGTGAAATTATCAAAGCTATTCTACAATACTGTAATGAATTTATCATTTGATGATGTCAAATGAAGATTCAATTTAGAAGAGAAATAGCAAATAGATAACAAAAACAAAAGAATGAGACGAGAATGTACGTTTCCCAGTCAATGCCCATGGCATTATGAACTTATACTATGCACATACCCAACAGTTTTAAGAACATGACATGCTGAACCTTTTATACTGCAACAATTCAACATTCATTTCAACTGGAGCATACTGACATCCCTATCCAGTTATGTTAGTGTTCCCATTCTTTTTGTTTTATTTTTTAGTGACTACAATTAAGCACTAAGCATTAGATCTGAGGAAGCTAAAATGAAATAGCATTGTTAACCAATCTGGTTTATTACTCTGGAGAATATCTGAGGAAGCTTAAATGAAATAGCATCATTAATCAGACTGATTTATTGTTCTCAGGGTTGAAGTATCATTAGATGAATTAACTGATAGAACAAACTGTCAGACCAGAACTAATATACAATTAAAAAATTGAATTAGGATCAGCCCTTGTTTTGCTCTGTACTTTTTATTTGTTGCTAGTATTTACTATTTATAAATCAATTCAGACATCAGTTATAGATTATGCTAAAGTGAGGAAAGGAATTAAGAATGGGCAGGATTGGTCGCCACAATATTAGCCAGCCATTACAATTTAAAAAGGACTAACCCAAAAAACAATTAACAGTAAAGAACCAAGCAAAAACATGTTGATGTGGCTAAGTAACAACTTCATAAAATACTAAATTTTGTAAGTGAATGGCCAAATGGTGTTACTGATGCATGGATGCATCTAGTAAAGGAGAAATACCAACCTGTGTAGCCAAATCACCAATAGCCAGCCGCGAAAGAACAACTTCTGCCCCACTTTGCACGCACTTATCCAACTTGTCATAAATGATATTCCACTCTGCATCAACAATGGACTGGTACTGCGATGGATCTGAAAGTCTACAACAAGAGATATATAGAGATGCACATTTAGCAATTTCACAGTACACCACGGAAATTCAATCAAAAGAAGAACAAATTATTTTACCTTATCTCAGCATTTTCCTTCTCAGATTTGAGTTCCAATTCAATGTTTAGTAGAAGAATTTTGGGATTTAGAAATTTCTTCGGCTGCTGCTCAAATCCGGCGTATGAAAATGTCTTCTTAAAGGCAACTCCATTCACCAAGAACGAGTCCCGCATATTACCACCAGGAACCTGGAGAAGAAATCCAAAAAAATAAAAATGCTGTCATAACAAAATTTAATAGTGTTTCCAGACAACACCAGCTTCCCCTCATCTGATTCGAATAAAATTATCTTTATTTAAGAAATGAAAGTGCAACCCCTGATTTAAAAGTCATAATGTCATACCAACCACATAGATTTATTCATTAAAAAAAAAGAACTTAGTTTTGCAGTCCAAAGCACTTTGTCTGCTTGGATCAGAGCATCAAACGATCCAAACAGAGAACAGAGAACAGCACGATATCAGATGATACTTTTAACTAATCGCAACATTCTAAATTATTATTAGAATAATAATGGCAAAAACACAAGTAATCAGGGAGACTACGAAGCTCAAATAAATTATATCCCATCATTGAATATGAAAACGATAAAATTAATAAGCCTACAAAAGATATTGGCAAAATGAATTTGCTAACTATAAGGATATGACTGTTGAGGGAAAAAAAAAAAAAAAAAACACTATATATATTACTAATAAGTTAATACGATAGGCTTAACTATAAATATACCTTCTTGATTCCAATCATATTTAGCCGATCCTCACTACCAATGGCAATAACGGCATCAACAACCATTGATGCAAAGAACTCCTTTTCTCCACCAATGAGTTTTGAAGAAAGCGTTGTAGCAGCACATTTAGCAAGGAGGCCTTTCTTTTCTTCCAAACTTTTTCCCTCTATGCTAAAGGCTAGTTCTTTTACTCTCTCAATTGCCTAAACGATATTCATAATATCCAGGAAGTAAGATATCATTACATGGAACCAACTATAACAGGAAAAGAAGATAAGACCAGCTCAAATACCAAATGGCATGCAGTGCGATAACTCCTAATCAAATTTTGGGAGTGGACACCATCCTCTATGAAAGGCTTGGCCTCCTTTAGAAACTCCCCTGCAAGCAGGACAACAGTGGTGGTCCCATCACCAACCTGCACACAAATATATAATTATATATAAGTTAGATCTCGTAGAGAGCATATAATCAATATATATAATGGCACCCTGCAAGAACATAAATAAGTTCACAATAGCATAATCTGAAAGAACCAAAGAGAAAGCCACCACTCAACGGTTTCAAATCACCCTCCTGTTTCCTTTCTTTCTACCTTTCTCGGCTTGCAAGAAAGCTGCTTCTCTTTTTTCTTTATAGAAAGAAAGCACCTTTTACGTATAAAATAAAACTACAAGTAATAAAGAGAGAATGATATCATCTGCAAAAGAAAAGAAAACCAAAAATTTATATTATATCATTCCATCTTAAAAGAATAGAAGAGAAAAAATTATCTTTAACAACATCAGTAGTGGACACCCCAAGAGAAGTCAATTTTTTCTAGTCTATCCCAGATAAGTACTCCAACCAAAAAGGTCTAGGAAAACCTAGTTCTCCTTCAGACCTTTCCAACTAGATAACTCATAAACGAAATGAGCCATCAACTAAAACAAACCATACTATTACTGCATACTTGAACAGAGAAAATATATTTTGTTCGAACAATACCAAAAATTCTCTTCATTGTGTAAAAGCAGCATGAGACTTAAAATTGATATTAGAGCTTTAATCAAAGGGATTCAAATCAATGCACTGTACTCGTCCAAAGTAAGGCTCACCAGACCCGTGAATGGTCAAGGAAAGGAGAGAATTCAGCTTTTCTTCAGCCTATTAGCCAAAACATTGGAAATAAATTTGTACAAACAGCATCGAATTAATAGGTAATAACTCCTACTTCCTGAACCCACAAACCCAGAAGGAATATAGAATACATGGCAGCATAAACCTCCAGACTGCATAATCTTCCCCATCATCCCCCAACAGGAAAAAAGAGGGAAAAAAAATCACTCAACGTGATCTCCTAAATCCTGCAAGAGAAAAACCATTTGGGCAAGGCCATTTTCTCTCTAGAATACAAACTGTGCACCTTAGTTTCCCTTTCTAGAAAGGTATTTTTAATTCTCACTATTGGGAGCTCCAACTTAACTCAATCCCAATGAAAATACAAAAAAAACTTCTCAAAGAATTGATGTATATCTCCCTTAATACTCTGCTCATCATATTATCTTCCACATGAAGATCAAATATTTACTCTCCCATTACTAACCACGTGATGAAAAAAATTTGTATCAGCATCTCATTCTCACAACTTTAAATTAGCATCATCTTCACGGATACAAAACAACTTCATCTGAATCAGGTTCCTTAAAAAACAGCACTTCAAACTGTTTTTTTCAAATTCCATGCTAAAACCCTCAACAAAATCACAATTCCTCTCTTTTCTAAAATTTCTTCGATCTTAAGCCTGAGATCTCCCAAAACAGTAGTATTCTAAGACAACACTCTACTTTTAACATGAGATAATTTTGAGGACCATGGAAAAGTGTAAGATTTGATAATGTCATAAGGGTAGAAGACTGGCGGGCAGATTTTAAGACTTATAGTTGTTTGTTTCATTAGGTGAGGGATTCAAAATCCTCTACAAGACTCCAATCTTGATCCTTCCAAAGTTAGTAGGATTGGAGGAGAGAATCCATACCGATCAGTGATTCAGTATAAGTTCCTTCCTTTCTATTTTCATCACTAGGTGTTGTACATTTCCTCTCTCTCCCAACATTACAGATCAATATCGACAAATAGTTTTGAAACTCTCGTCTCTTTCTTTGGCTTCTTCTCAGCTAACATAGGATAGTGTCCAATCCAATTTACACCATTTCCACAAACCAACTAAAAACCAATCAAACAAAAACAAACTTTTCACAAAAACAAACTTTTCACAAAAACAAGTTAAAAACAGCCCAAAAAACCCTAAATCGGGACAGTCATAAATAAGAACACCCAACATTTCTCCACAACATTTTAAGATATTACCTCGGAATCCTGGGACCGGGCGATGTCGACGAGGATCTTGGCGGCGGGGTGGACGATGTCGAGAAGCTTCATGATAGTGGCGCCGTCGTTGGAGATGGTGACGTTGCCCTTGTCGTCGTGAATGAGCTTGTCCATTCCCCTGGGCCCCAGGGTCGTCCGTATCACGTCGGCCACCGTCGTGCAGGCGTTGATGTTGCTCACTAGCTGCGGCTTCCCCTGCGACGTGTCCGTCCCTTCCTTGAGCAGTATGATCTGAGGTTGCTGTTTTCCCGTTCACGCATTTTCACAAACAGTTTGCGAACACACCGCCCAAACAGAGTCAGTAATACGCAGAATGAACAGAGTAGAAAGAAATGGAGGGGAGAGAGAGAGTGGTTACCAGCATGGCTGCCATTGTTGCGTCCGCGGATGTTGGAGTGGTAGTGAGAGAAAGTAGAGAGAGAGAGAGAGATCTTGCTCTTGAGCTGTGAAGAGAGCTAGGGTTTTGGTTTTGGCAGAAAAGGAACTTTAAACTCCTCTGTTCTGGCCTGGCCTGGCGCTTTCTAGGTTCTCAGATTTGCGGGGGTGGTTTTTTTTTTTCTTGTTTTTTCCTTTTTAGATATTTTGCGTACTTACCCCTATATTTGTAAGGGTTTGGGAACTTGACCCCTGGAGTTCTATTCACACTGACAAAAAAAATTAAAGTGAGATCGTGTTTGGTTCACCGTTCGTAATGTAATAATTTGGTTTGAATTGTAGAGCCCGTTTAGTTCGCTGATTCGAGTTTTTAATTTGAGTTGAGATGTAATTTTATATGAGAGTTTTTTACTGTAACAAAAAAGTTAGATGTGATTATTTGTGAGAGCTTTTTACTGTAGTAAAACTCGAATTCTAAACTCGAATCAGCGAAATGAACGAGGCCGATTGTGGTGATTTGAACTGTAATTCAAATCGATATTTAAAATGAAACTTTATGAATTCTAAGTGTTCGTTTGTTTTGCGGATTCATCAAGTTTTGAATCGGAGAACAAGTTTGAATCAGTATTTAGTTCATTTTTGTTGAAGCTAGGTTATGGATTAGAACCATCCTAGATGGGTATAGAACTCATTTTGGAGAACTTAGGGCTGTTCAGCAGAAAAAAAGCAGGGTTAAAAACTCAAAAAAATACAACTCGAGTTTTAATTTTATTCAAGTTCATGTTCTTTTAAGTTTGAACTCGAGTTTAAACTCGAGTTTGGGACTAAAACTTGAGTTCAAGTTTCCTCTTCAACTCGAGTTCAGAAACTCGAACTCAAATTAATGAACAGTATTTTTTATATTCTTAAAAATGCTATAACTTTTTCGTTTTAATCCTGATTGAGATGATTTTTTTTCTATGCGTTGACAACGAAAAGACGAATAAAACCCCACCCATATACCCTATTAAAATTTTTCATCACTATTGAGTTTTTATTAAAATACTATCTAAATATAAATTCAAGTTTTGACTCACTCAAACACAAACTCAAAAAATATTTTTATCTCAAACCATAACTCAAATGTACACAACCAAACACAAATTCAAGTTACAACTTCAACTCAAGTTATAACTCAAATTCAACTCAAGAACTACACTCAAGTCACACTCCAAAAGAACAGGCATCCCCTTATAACTTCTTATGTGTTTGATCTCATTTGCTACAGTATTTTTAGTTTAAACCTATGACTCTATTTGTGGTATATTCACAACTTTTACACTAACTAAACACCAATTTAAACTTTATTTTCTGTTGTGGTGTTTTATTACATGTTCAGACTTTCCACTTCTAAACACCAATTTGTATCAAAGTAAAACCCACAGGGGTTCAGAACTTTTAGTTCAAACTCAAAAAGTTCAAAACCATATTATTCAAATCAGTGAAGTAAATGGACCCTTAGGCCATATTCTTCTCACAATTCAAGTTACAAAATTCCAACTAAAGTTAAGATTTCAACTCAAATTAATGTTTGGGAGCAAACTTTAGAATGTGATCAAGTCAAAAATCCAGTTTGAGTTGGTAGTGTAAAAATTCAAATTCAAGCCCCCCTTTAATTTACATAATTTGAGTTAAATGATAAGTACTTTCTCTCTCTTCTACCTAATTTCAAAATGTCGTAACCTTTTTTTCTTTTAACTCTAATTTTTATGATTTTTTTATGCATTTAGAATGAAGAGATGAATAAAACATCATTCATATATCCTATTAAAATCTGTTATCGTCATTGAGTTTTCATAAAAATAAAATAAAATAAAAATAAAAATAAAAACCTATCCAAATGCATAATAAAATTTTATTCTTAGTTTTTATTTGAACTGAAATTATGAATCTCTTTTGTAGTTTAAACTCAGATTCGAACCGATATTTGAAAGTAGTCTGTATACGAAATAAAACAAAATAGTAGAAAATTAAAGGTTGTTTGGTATCTAGATTCGTTCCCTGATTCGAATCATAGTTCGTGGTTTGTTATAGTATTTTTTCTCATAAAACATACACATAAATCAAAAATAATTCTAATCATATAGTTTTAATATATGAACCGAACGTCTCTTTAGTTATTTGAATAGCGTGAGAATTGTAAGGAAAGAAAAAGTTTAGCTTGATTTGACTTAACATGTTTCAAAACCATACAAGCCAATGCACATTCAAAAACCAGTTTGCATTAGGCCCATGGGTTCAAATTGTATGAACCCACGAAACGAATTGGCCCAGGAAATGAACTGGCCCTAAGACTACATTAAATTGAATTGTTAATTTTTCAGACATAGTAGCATTATGTCGGAATGAATTTCCTTAAAAGCACGTCCCTAATTATTTTTATATGATTTTTCTCATTAAATTTTTTATTATTTTCATAAATGTTTCTTAAATTATGTATTATATTTTAAAGTGTCCTTAATTTTTTTAAAACAGTTTCTCTCACTCTCTGATATATAAAAAAACCCTTCAACTAACCCATTACATCAGCTTCAATTTATCAATTGGATGAAAAATGCTCAAGTAGCAATAAAAATGAGTTTATTAAACGTTAAAATTATTTTAAGTAATAAAAACTATTTTAAAAAAATATATTTTAAAATATGTTTATTTAATCAATTTTAATTTTATTGTAGTTAAAAATTTTTATAAAAAATCACATTTAATTTTTTATATTATACTAAAAAATTATTATATAAAATTAAATTTTAACTCAATTTTATAAATTCAACGAGACTTGAATATATTAAATCAAATATTATTCTAAGTTCGGATAAAAAAAAATACATCATTCTAAAATAAAATTTTCAGATCTAACAAAATCTTCAAATTTAAGCACCCTTGCTCACCTCCCTGCAACCACCACCGCCACCCAACTTGCTTGATTCCTTGGCTTAGAGAAGGAGATCCTTGGGCTTGGGAATGGAGAATGAAAGAAAGCTTAGAGAAGGTAGAAAAGAAATCTATCGAGCACCTTCCACTCAAGCTAGATGTTGACGGTGGATTTGAATATGGCGGATTCGAGACGAGGAGCTATTGGCGATTCCGGTTGAGCGCAACCGTCTGAGTGGATTGGGTTAGCTCCGACTTCGAAGCTTCCGACCATGTTTAAAGGATCTGCTCGACTTCGAATCAACTGCTTGGGTTAATCTGTGAAATCATTGTGTGTGTGTGTGAAATAGTAGTCGTTTGGACTATCTTTGTATTAATTGTTGTTTAGAAATTTATTCCATCAAAAAAGCATGTTCTAAAGAGATCTCAGACAACCCATATAGTATATTAGATTAGAATTTTAAGGTTTTGTGATCTGGCAGTAGTTTGATATGGGTTGTGGTACAAGGCACGAAGGCAGATTTGGGTTTGTTGGTTCTTTCGCCTTCGTATGGTCTCTTCTGTCTAATAAGGGCATTGTTCTTGAATTGAGTGTAGTTTTTGAGTTGAATTTGAGTTATAATTTGAGTTAAAATTGTAGTTTGAGTTTGTGTTTGGTTGTGTACATTTGAGTTATGGTTTGAGATAAAAAAAATTTTTAAGTTTGTGTTTGAGTTAGTCAAAACTTGAATTTATATTTAGATAGTATTTAAAAAAAAACTCAATGGTGATGAAAAATTTTAATATGGTATATGGGTGGAATTTTATTCGTCTTTTCGTTGTCAACACATAGAAAAAAATCATCTTAATCAGGATTAAAACGAAAAAGTTATAGCATTTTTAAGAATAGAAAAAATAATGTTCATTAATTTGAGTTTGAGTTTCTGAACTCGAGTTGAAGGGGAAATTTGAACTCGAGTTTTAGTCCCAAACTCTAATTCAAACTTAAAAGAACATGAATTTGAATAAAGTTGAAACTCAAATTGTATTTTTTTGAGTTTTTTAGGCTGCCGAACAAGGCCAAGATTACTCAGGTTCTTTCTTTTGATTTTGAAAATCTTAGGCGACGTTTGGTAAGGGGATTCGTACCATGATTCGAATCATGATTCATAGTTCGCTACAATATTTTCTCTCATAAAAAATACACGTAAATAAAAAATAGTTCTAATCTCATGATTTTAATCTATGAACCAAACGTCTAATTAAAGACTTTTTAGGTATATTTTGGATTTTTTTTAAATCATATTTTGATATTTAGAATAATAGTTTTAATTTTATTTGGCAATATTTAGAATATTTAGTTTTTATTAGTTAAAATACTTTTAACATTTAATAAACTCATTTTTTATTGCCATGTAAGCATTTTCCATCCCGTTGATAAACAGAAGTGGATGGAGGGAGTTAGGTCTCATTCATTTCACCAATTTGAATTTAGAATTCGAGTTTTGTTACAGTAAAAAATATTAAAAAATAGTCACATCTAACTTTTTTATTACAATAAAAAACTCTCACATAAGTCAAATCTTAACTCGAATCAGTGAACTAAACGGGGCCTTAGTTAAACTATTATATATATATATCAATATGTGAAATGGACCGTTTTAAAAAAATCAAGAGTACATTAAAATAGAGTACATACTTCAAGGGGTATTTATGAAAATAAGCCTTAAATACATGCATTTTGATCCGGTTGATTTTAATGTGCTTTGTTTAAGTAATAGTCGTAAACATGCGCTCTGCACGTGCGTATTCAACATATTTCTTTTTTTTTTTCCAATATGAAGGTCTTATTTTTTTTCAAAAAATTTATGGGCGCGTTTAGAACTCGTTCCAAAATGATTTTATTTTTTGTATGAAAATGAAAATGAAAACGTTTTCAATATCAGACAGAAATCATTTTTAAAATGTGTTTGGTAGTTTTATCAAGAGATTATTTTCAGTATAAAAAACCCATCAATGTCTCTGTCTCTTTCTCTCTGCTCGAGAGAGGAGAAAACAAAAACAAAAAATGAAAAATGACTAAAAATTATTTTGTATTTCTCTCTTATTTTACACTAAACTAAAAAATCGTTTTCATTTTCATTTTTTGTCTTTATTGCGCCAAATGTCATTTTGAAAACGTTTTCATTTTTTCTTTCTTGAAAAACATGAAAAATAAAAACGGGATCAATTCTAAACACGACTTATAATTTATGTTTTTTTATCACTTTTTTCTTAATGATTAAATCCAATAAAAAATATTAAT